GTGTATGTATTTGTGTATTACACAATTAATGTTTCTTTCTACTTTTTAGACTAGCAAAGCTCGAAGAGAGTTTAAAAGATGAAGGGCTTTCAGAGTCCCAAAAGCAAGAAAAAAGGCTACAGCATGCTCAGAAAGAAACAGAATTTTTACGCCTCAAACGCTCCAGGCTAGGTGTTGAAGATTTTGAACCCTTGAAAGTGATTGGTAGAGGAGCTTTTGGAGAAGTAAGTGAAATATTTAAAATTGCAATGTGTTTTTTTGGGAGAGAACTATTGTTTCATTGTTAAACTTTTTTCAGGTACGTCTAGTTCAGAAGAAAGATACTGGACATGTCTATGCAATGAAAATATTGCGTAAAGCTGATATGTTAGAGAAAGAGCAAGTGGCTCATGTAAGAGCAGAGCGTGATGTTCTTGTTGAAGCTGATCATCAATGGGTCGTTAAAATGTTTTATAGTTTTCAAGTGAGTATACATTTCTTCAATGCTAAGTAACTTGACTTCATAAGCATTCTCTCTTATACTGAATAAAAATAACTGATTTTGTGCCTGTCCAAATTAGGATCCAATTAACCTGTATCTAATAATGGAGTTCCTACCTGGAGGAGATATGATGACACTTCTGATGAAGAAGGATACCTTGTCAGAAGACTGTACTCAATTTTACATTGCAGAAACTGCTCTTGCCATTGACTCTATTCATAGATTGGGTTTTATACACAGGTATGTGTTAACAATGCGAATAATTTCTTGAGTTAACCAATAAAATGAAACTTTGTTAAATTTACTGTCTTTGTTTTTTCTCTCAGGGATATTAAGCCTGATAATCTTTTGTTGGATGCTCGGGGACATATCAAATTATCAGATTTTGGTTTATGCACTGGTTTAAAGAAATCTCACCGTACAGATTTCTATAGAGATCTCAGCCAAGCTAAACCCTCTGATTTTAGTGAGTATTCGCTGTTCAATAGTGAGTAAATTTTTGGGTTTGTTATTGAGTCTTACCGTGTTGTTTTTAACTTTGTTTGCCAAATACCAAATATCTCTATGTTCTTTTTACAGCCTCCAGTCCTATGGATAGTAAACGTAAGGCAGAAAGCTGGAAGAAAAATCGGAGAGCTCTAGCCTACAGTACTGTTGGAACTCCTGATTACATTGCTCCTGAAGTCTTTTTACAAGCTGGTTATGGACCTGCTTGTGATTGGTGGAGTTTAGGGGTCATCATGTATGAAATGCTAATAGGTAAAAGAAAAGTGTAAATGATTAACCTAATCAGCCTTTCTCTGTTTTTACTTTCCCTCTAATAATCTTTTCATCGGTTCTATCATACAGGTTATCCCCCTTTTTGTAGTGAAAATCCTCAGGAAACTTATCGTAAAGTAATGAATTGGCGAGAGACATTATCTTTTCCACCTGAGGTGCCAATATCGGAAGAGGCACGTGAAACAATAGTCCGCTTTTGCTGTGATCCCGACCGTCGTTTAGGTTCTCAACGAGGTCTAGAAGAGCTGAAATCAGTTCCATTTTTCCGTGGGGTTGATTGGGACCATATTCGAGAAAGACCCGCTGCAATCCCTGTTGATGTACGATCAATTGATGATACATCAAACTTTGATGATTTCCCAGATGTCAAACTCGAAATTCGTAAGTATCACTATCTTATATTTATTATACGTACTTTATCCAATTTTACATTTTCAAATGTATTTAATTAATCTGTATTTTCTTTTTACCATTACTTTAGCTGCCGCTCCACTGCCTCAAGATGGAGAAGTCATCTATAAAGATTGGGTGTTTATTAATTATACCTTCAAGCGATTTGAAGGTCTTACCCAAAGAGGTACTCCCACGAAAAAATGAATCTCAAGTTACCAACTATCTTATCACGCTGTCAAGTAAATGTGGACAGTTCCAACGAAAGACTCTTTTTATTATTATCGTTTTGTTTATTTTTAGTGCCACCCATCAGATGACAATACTGTAAATATATAGTGCTCTCTTTCTTTATCTGTATGCGCCTGTTGTGTGAATGATTGTGCGTACGTGATGTGCGTTAGGCAGCTGTCTCCCTACCAATCTGCCTTATTCTCATGCAAACTGTTTAGTGTCCTGAGCAAGGAAGTGATATGCATGTTTCTTTTGAGTTCTCTCAGTACTGCTCTTTTAGCTCATTTTTTTGTTTGTGCTGCCGACAGCTGGAAGAGCTGTTTTTTAATTGTCTTTACTAATGTTATAGTATGTTGTATGTCTATTTCATAAATTATTTATGTTGTCGCTTTTATAATGTAGTAACATTGTTTTGTTTTGTTTAAATTCCTATTTGTCTTGCAGGCTTATTGTGGCACAATAATAATGTTAATGAAAAAATAATAATAGTTATTATTACCTATATCAGTGAGTAGGATGGAAATGTTTATTTTCCACATTAAACTTCCATTTCCTATCTTGGTACACTTGTGATTGAGTTTTGATGGCAGGATGTTAATATTTCTTGGTTTAATTTGGTACATGATCATGCTTGTTTTAGATTAGGTGATATTGTAGGGTGCAGACATTCCTAAACAATTTAGTCATCCTGTTTTGTTTTTGTTTTCCAAATGTAAGCCTCATATTCTAAAGAAGAGCATTTTTGTACTTAGATGAGAGGTACCACTCCTACTGTGAGTTGTGTAACTTATTAGTTCTTCTAGTTTGAAGCCTCTCTAGCCATATAAAAGTCTAAATAGTCAGAGGACTTTTCAGGTCAACCCAGATTTTCCAAAATACGTTAAATTTCCAAACGAGGTGTTTCACATATAAAGTTCTATGAAATCTTGTTTTTTATTCAAGAATTTTATTTATGATCTTACCCTCCTGCTAGTGCCTACAGCTTTGATGAAGGTACCTTGTTGATTGTTTTGAAGTCCAATTGGACTTGAACTAACAGTTAAATCTTCTTGTTTTGTGATTGTAAGGTCAAGGAGCTAGGTTTATCTCAAATGAAGTGGAAGTTTAACATATCAGTTTAGTAAGATTGATTGTTACCGCATGTGATATGTGTGTGCAGCTGTGAATGGGAGCCAGTCAGTCTCTTTATAATTAGTTATTTGGGTTACAATGCTATTTTGAAGCATTGTCTTTGCTTTTATGTTTTAGGAGGATGATAATTACACAGCACACCATTGTCTGATATTACCAAATTATGATCTTAAATATTTGAACAGAAAAGTGTCATTGGGAGTGCTTGGATTTATTTTTTTGACCTTGCATTCTATTTTTCTTTTTCTTTTTCTTGTTATAACTGAAGTGGATTGCCTCTCTTTCTTTTATAGGTTTTTTCCTTATGATTAATTTTGAATTTTCCTTTTGGTAATATTTTTTTATTAGAATGAATGATGAGAGATCATTCCTTGCTGGCTCCATGATGAAGAGTACTTGATTGTTTGTGCTGCTTGTATTTTTGTGTGTTTGTTTGAATGACTGTTGTAGTATGTTAAATAGTGAGTGATTTCATGAGTGTGTGTACATTTTGTCAAGTGTGAATGTGCTTTATGCAATAGAGTCACATATAGTCCAAGCATAGATTTCTACAAATGAATAATCTCTATTTATTTAACATAAAGTTATGCTTTTCAAACTGTAGAGGAGCACTGATTGTTGTACATAGGGACATGTTTATAAACACTCTTTACTGAAAGACAGTCTTAGAGAAAAATGTGCACTAATATTCAGATTGTTAGTGTAAATTTGTACTATTTAGTGCCAATATGAAGATGAGAGCTTAAAAAGATGTAAATTGTCAAATGTGATTTTTTTTCCTGTTCACTCAGAAATTATCCTAAAGAATTATTTTAGAGAGACTGCCTCCCCTGTGGATTTAAAGCCAGTGTTCTTTGATAGCTAAATTGTATTAATCATGATTTGGTACATGGCATAATCTTATGTACAAAAATGTTGTCAATAGAAAGTAAAGTTTGTTTCATTTTTACATGTACGCTTTGTCTATAAAACCTTACCAAAACCTCTCAACAATTTCATTGGAAAGGGAAAAAAAAGAGCCACTAAGGCACAGTGGTATTGCAATATACCTCTCCATATCCATACTGCCTCTTGACCTCGGAGTTTTGAACCCGAACAAGAAAAAATACCAACCTTCCGGACACCATCAACATTGGCCACAGGAGTCCCACTGCCACGGTTGATTACCCTCCATACACATCTCTTCGGAGAAATTATAACCTCCTCGTTTGTGGCTGGCCTTGCCAGACAGAGCGGGGCCATCCTGCCGCCCATACCGAATGGGTGGCCTACCTAGCGGGCGTGCCACAGGTCGGCTGCCAGCGCACGAACGCGGACGCCTGCTGGGGTAGGCATACCATTTGACTCCTAGAGTCTTTTTTTTTGGGGGGGGGGGAGGTCGTATCACTGCGCCCAGGAGAAAGAGCCCCCAAGGTACGCGAAATCGACAAGATTTTGTGCTCAAGGGCGGAGGAATTTTTTTTGATACGGTGGGAAGTGCAAGGACATCTGTCGTCCGACACGTGTGGTGCAGGAGGAACAGACTCTATGACTCGCAGCATCTGTTCAGCTGTTAAGTGAGGCAAGTGGGCAAGGTGCTAACGAGGTTGATGCTTCGCTCCCCCCGAGGAGCCCCGAGGACAATCACGATGTTTGAACCAAGCAGGCCGCAGCGCAGGCAGTCGCGAATGGTCGCGAGTGTACTCTTTGTTCCACGCTCTGCTGGACAGCACTATGTACCACGCTCTCTTCCATGAGTCGGAGAGCGGGGAGGAGACCCTGGGGGGGGGGGGGGGGGGGGGGGGGGTTAAGAGCCGCGCCCACCACCTGCGAACCACTATGATGCGGCTATGGACGTGATTCGGCGAACATCTCCGCCGCACTTAAAAGTTCTATGACTAATTGCGGTAGCCGCCGCGGGACCTGGGGAAGTCCAGCGCTCACTCGGGCGGCGCGGCGTTCGCCCAGAGAATCCTTTCTTGAAAACAAGGACGGATATTTCATCCGAAGCAAAAATTTGCTCTATGTACTCTCAAGAACGTTTTAAATTTGGCATGGAAGGAGGTCTCTTTTGGCCAAATAAGAAGGTTTCCTTGAATCAAGGAAGGCTTTTTTTGGTGCTAGATCCAAGATAAGCATTTCTTTAAGTGTACCAAAGAAATGTTTCTCTGGGTGTTTCCAACATTTTCCGGCGGCGTCGTACTTTTCCACGGCAGTTCAACTGGTACAACAACACCGGCGGCAGAATGAGGCGGCATCCGACGGGGCGAGTTGAGGCGGGGCGGGGGATGGCGGGGCGTGCGGCGGCAGCACGGCGGACCGCACACCGGCTGTGACGGCGGTGACGACAAGGTGGGGAGGACGGCGCTC